CCATTCATAAACAGCATGGGTAAGCAAAATCAGCTAACCTGATTTTGCTTAGAATTGTTAATATCTGAATCCAATACCAGATTAAAATTTTATTTTATTCCAATCCAATTTAAAGAGATTTTTAGATATTCGTTTAAATTGGATCAGAAACCAAATTTATCTGACATACAACAATAACATCTAAGTATCTAACTACCTGGGTGTATAAAAAACGTTTGTCTTTGTTTTAGAATTTCAGAGAGTTCATAGCGCATTTCATTTTTTTTCTTACCAAAATTAATTCAGCAAAAAATGTACTTTATAAAAATATATAAAAAAAGTTATTGAAAAAATAAAAGTATATAAAATAAAATATTCAATTATTACACATAAAAAGTCTACACTGGAACTTTAATAAAAGTAAAAAGTTTCTTCTCAAAATAAAATTTGATCTAAAAACACTTTTTTTGCATTCAATACTTTTTATTTAATTTTTTACTAAATTAACTTTAAATAAATTAAAAATATGTATAAACAAAATTCTAAAACTGCAATTTTTAAGAACATATATCTAAAAAGGTTATATCTTATCTTCATAAGTTTACTTGGCATCATTGCTTTGAAATTGTTTTAAAAACTTCCATTTATTTTCAGAATTTATTTCTTGCCTTTCGCATTAATACCTTGTTTAAAGTATTTTCATAGTCACATGTGTTTTAAAAAGATATTAGCACCGATATTCTATAATTATAATAAAGATAAATATTTAAATAAAATTAATACCTAGATACTTATAACTAATTATTTTATTTATTTTTAAAGGAAATAATAATACTTAAATTATATAAAATTACAATATTAAGGATAAAATAAATAACAAAAAAAAAAACCTTTAATAATAAAAAAACTACTTTAAACTTAATCTTATTTATAAATATTTCTGTTATGACATTTATAAATTTATATTATAACATTTAATTTATGATAATGATCATTTACAGACAAGCAGATAGCAAAAGCAATATAAATTTATTTTACGCAGCTACACTGCAACATTACCTATAAAATTGTTCTTTTTAAAACAAGTATAGAAAACTGGACTTATTTATTTTTATTAGATATTCCATCTGCTTTTTCTAGAACGGATATACAAGTTTTTAGATTTTTTTGTTATTTTATAATTTTTAAAAACTTTCTTTTTTACAAAAAATTTTAAAACTTTAATAATAAAATCAAATATATGAACTTATAACAAATTAAAACTTGAAAGTCATATTTTTATTTCATATTGAAATGAGTCAAACAATAACTTAAATCATTGAGCGAGGAAGTCATAAAGACTCAAAGTCACAAATAACAAGCGAATGAGAATGTTCACAAAAAAAAATTGTCAAAAAAACCAAATTAGTTGCAGAACTTGGAAAAATATTTTAAAAGACTTGAGGTGAGTTCTAACTCTTTAGCTACTGAGCAAAGGAAAAAAAAGGAAAAAAGGCCAAATACAATGCAAATCATGTAATAAGGTGTAATAAAGTAAACACACATATTAAACAAAAGTATTGACATAAAATAATTATTTCATTTACATTTTCATTAACAAATTCATGAAAATTATTTTTTAGTTTACTTAGTATAATATATAAAAAAAAGCCAAGTATAATATAAGACTACCAAGTATAATATAAGCCAAGATTCTCTTTTGTTTGAGTTTTTTCAGACATAAAAAAATTAAAAAGCCAGTAAACATATATTATACTAATAATTATATATCAGTATGCGTGATAATTAAAATTTAAAAACATAAGTGGTAAACATAACATGACACAATATTAGTAATAATAAGTGGATAACAAAAGAAAAGTAATAAGATAATATTTCAGGTCAGGTAAAAAGAATATAAATGATATAGAAATTTAGGATCATTATGGTCACCCTGCTACTAATAAGGTTTAATCCAGCAAGCATGTAAACCTGTTGCATGCTTTAGTGCTTTGTGTAGGATTTGCTTTTCTAAGCAAAGGCTAGAAAAAGGTAACTTCCTGTTATTAACACTACCTAATACCTGTTATATTTTTAACAATATCAGGCCTTGCGATAAAGCGTCGGGCGATGTGAATTTTACGTTGTCCAAGAGCGATTTTGCGTGTAGCTAGCGCTATTTACATCGAGCAAAAAATTTTTTGTTTGAGTATATTTAAAGATATTTTTGAGCGGAATTTTAATGAAGTAATTTACGATTATTTTAACATTTAATAAAGTTTTAAATTTTAAAAACCGCACGCAGTTGATATAAAAGTTGAATTACAAAAAAATTAAATATGCTCATTATTTACAAGTAGAAAAAATTCAGATTAAAAAAAAAGTTTAAATCTTTTTAAGCTAACATTTTAATAAAATTATTTAGCAATAGCAAAGCTGTTGATAAAATTGAACAAAAATACTTTCGTTTAGTTTTAGATTTTTAACTTAAATAATTATTTTACGGGGGTTTGTTAGGTTTTAAAATTATTCCATAGATTTAAAAATATTTATTAACTGTTTGATGTATTTAAAGAGTAATTTCGAGGAAACATTTTTAAAATTGGTAAGCGCATAAAAAAATATTTTCTTTGCGCAAAGATTTTTATTCTAACATTTTATTTTATTTTACTAGAAATAAAATTCCTTGTAAACATTAAAAATCTATTCAAAACGTTCGTTAAAATTTTTTAGTAGTACGAGTGATTGTGCTTATCAACCGCTTTATGAAAATAAATAAATAAAAAATTAATATATAAAATCGCTGGTAAAAATATTAGCTATTGCACAGTTTTTAATCGAACAATATTAAAATTTCCAGTTTATTACTGGCTGACTTTTTAAAAAGAAAAAATAATTATTTGAAAAACTTTAAACTACATATTTGAGAAGAAAAAAAATTCAAATATTAGCATTTATAATCTTTTTTAAATAATTAGTTATAATGTTTTTTATTCGTTTAGTATAGACAAAACGTGTCAAATGTCAAGAAAATAAACAAAAATTTTTACATTTTAAAAAACGAAACATTCCGAAACATTTTAAAATAATAACGTTTCTACATTAATGATTTAAAGTAGTTTTGCGGTAATTAAGTAAATTGGTGCAGTTAAAGTTGATAAATATGAAAAGCAAATAAAAAAGAATTTAATGACATCAAAAATCACGTTGTGCTTATGCGTCCCGCAGTTTTTATTCATCACAAGGCCTGCAATATCCATTTTAATTTGCTATAAAGTTACAAATGTCTAAGTTACTGTGTTAGCTCACCCATAAGTCACGTATATTTGTGTTCTGTCTGAACCTTTGGTGATATTAAGTAAAAGGTAAGCAGAAATACTTTGTTGACCAGAAATACTTTGTTGACCAGAAATACTTTGTTGACCTTGCACCTCTTATTTATCTATTAAGCTGACATAAATGTAAATCTGTTATACTGTTTCCAGCCGAGGATGATGAATGCTGGATCTTCTTTACTCTACTCATGGGTAACTGCTTGTGTCTCCTTGATAGTGCAATTTTTTATCTTCTAATAAGAGTACAGTTTTAAAAATCAGTTTAATGGTTATGAGGCCTGCAGGTTGTAAGTTTTCCTAAACTCTGTGGTAGCTCTCAGAGAGGCTGATTCCATCAACAGCTGTAAAATATCAGAGTATTAACAATGTTGCACATGGATAGCACATGGATAGTTCCTGTTAGTGCTTTTAATATGATTTATCTAACCCACATAAGAAACCCTTTTTTACAACTTTGGGTTAATTAGCAGAACTGAGACAATAGCTTGTTGCCTCAATTCTGCAATTGTTCTTCATTGTTGTTTTGATCTATTAACTTAATAATATTACAATGTAGAGTAATAAAACATAAAAATGTGGAGAAATAAAATAATGTAGAGAAAAGCATGGTATAATATTTACTACTATTCAGAAACATGTCGAACGGGAGCATCTTTTGTCTTATGGTGGTCAGACAGCTTTCACACAAGCTCAAGAGGAATAGTTGAACAAAGTGATACAGGTGGAAACTGGATTTGTCCATTATTTACACTAAAAATAAGAAAATGCTGAATAAAGAAGGGCAAAATGTTCCAAATTTTGAAGAAAATCTACGAGGGACAGAATGGATTTTCTGCTTTTTTGAAAAGACACAAAGAACAGCTGCTACTGAGACAAGTACAAATTATTTTTTTATTTGTTAATTTAACAAAAAGCATGGTTGAAATTTAAGCCCTTAATATTATTAACTATGATGAAAATAATATGTTCTTCTTATCTAAATCCAGATATAATTGCTATTTGTGAAGATCCAAAAATATGTTTTGTATTCTTACCACCAAACAGCACTTACTTAAAACAACCCCTTGATGTTTGTTTTTCCCAACAATTAAAAATAAAGTGGTGAGAACTACTCTCAAATTGTAGGCAGCAAAATAGATGACTCTCAACTTGCCAAAAAATTTATTTTCACCCCTTTTTGAAGACATTGATTCAGGAAATTGGTATGATAGTCTTAGATCAAAGATTTGGGGATTTGACAACATGTTTTGAAAAGAAATCTCTGAAAGTCACATAAAACTGCAAAATGCTGTTCTTCACCATCATCACCACCGCTCATCCTCATCCATTGTCCTGAAAAATCTGCTCCTACTTGAAGAAAAAGAGTTAATGTCCAGCCAAGAAAGTCAAGTGAAGACTTAAATAAAGATGTCAATGAAGATCAAAGATGTGAAAGTACCTGAAAGTAAAGAAAAAGAATCTATTAAAGTTGATGAATGGGTATCTGTAAGATTCACTGAAAAAAAGTGCAATAGGGGAGCATGTGACTTTTCAAGTTTCTATAGATTTTTATTCATAAATTTGGCATCGAGAAGATAACTTTTGTGATATTGATTTTTATACTATTGAGCAGTTTTATGCGAGAACCATCTATTGGAAGGTGGACTTACTTTTGATTCCTGACTCTGCTAACTGTAACCTAATTAGAATAGAACTAATATATAATACCTGAACTCCAGGCCAATATGCTTCTAAAGATTGAAATATGGGAAGTGTGACTTTCCCACTATCCATGTTCACCCATAAATACCAATCATTGTACTTTAATCGTTTTTTTATAGTTGCACTAAGTTCTAAAAAAAAAAAACTATTATAAAAAACAAGAAAAAAAAAAAACAATTCTAAAATCTTTTTTGAGATGTTTTTTATTTAATTTTTATTATGTAAGATAATATAGAGAACATAAAACTAGTAAAAATTTACCATCAAGTACAAACATCAGAACTAGTAGAAATTTAACATCAGGTACAAACATTAGAACTAGTAGAAAGACATAACGACGCACAAGTAATATTATATTTAATTGATGAATAAACTTTTTGTTAACAATTTTTTTTTCAGAATTAACTTTAAAAAACATGGGGAAAAAAACTTAGCATAGAACAAAGTAGTTCAGTTTTATTTTAAAAACTGGTGAATTTTAAAATTTAGGTGAAGTTAGGGTTTTGGCTGTTTGTAGTGAATTTCTTTTTTACTGCAGTATGAAGTACAACTTCAAAAATCAAATTTTATGAATTTTTTATATAAATAGTAAATCGCAGAGTAAAGCATAAATAGCAATTGGACGGGATAAACTAGGTATTGGTGCTGAGTTTCTTCGAAACACCGGTAATAATAAACATGATTCAGAGAAGTTTATTACCGCCATAAATTATGATTACACAAAAGCAATGTTTTTTCTTTATCTTCTATTATTTTATATTTATTCATTTTAAATATTGCTATATCTTATACTGCTGATTTAGGTGAGCAGTCTGACATCATACTGAAATAGCCTGCTGCATTAGGCTTCAGTACATACATCGACTGACAAAAAGCTTGACTCACAGCGGAGTGCTACTACATCGACCTTTTTCTAAAAAAAAAGTGAGCTAATGCATAAACAAATACGCTATAGCAGATATATATATCTATGCCTATACATTTATACATAAATATATATTTTTTGTTATTCACCTCCTCAAGGCCGAAAAGACCACTACAGACAAGGAGGCTACTTTATAGTGGTTATAACCCTCTCTCAACTCTATAACTCCAAAACACGAACCTTGAAGAACAAGGCAGTTGCACGGAGAATTAAGCTGATACATATATATATATATATATATATATATATATATATATATATATATATATATATATATATATATATATATATATATATATATATATATATATATATATATATATATATATATATATATATATCAGGGATGCGAAGTTCAGAGTCGGAGTCGGAGTCCATGGAGTCCCTATTTTAGCCTGGAGTCGGAAGTCTCCAGAGTCCATAAAAATTTTAGGACTCCGGGACTCTTTTTAATTTATTTTATTATAATTATTAATAATAATAATAATATAAAATATTAATATGCTTAAGAAATACCTAAAGTCTTGTCACAAAAAAATGTAAAAGAGCATTTGACCGAAAAACTCATCTCCTTCCTTCCTAATTCGAACCAATACTCAGATTGAGTATCGGTTCGAATGTTATGCCTTGTTAAGCGGCGTTATCAAGCTTTCATTTTACGTGCGAAAAGGCCATGTGCCTACGCGTTCAGCAGTTTAATGTTAAGAGAAAACTTTCATCTTTTAGAATATTTAATTTTTATTTTGATGTTGAAGTGACGCTAATTCATAAAATATAATGTTGTAAGTAAAAGCATTTAACAGCAATTATGATCTAATAGTTTTTTTGTTAAAGAAACTGTTAATAAATTTTTTTTTGTTAAAATTAATTAAAAAAAATAAAGTGTTTTAACTTTAAAAATTTCATCATATTTAATGTTAAGTTAATAAACTTTTATTCGCAAATTATGTTCATTTTATGTCTAACGATTTTTGTTTATTTATTTATTGTTTTAAAACAATTAATTTTTTCATCCCATTAAGAAAGTACTTATGATTAACTATTTATTTAAGTATTTCCTCATCATTAAATTTCGAGACCCAGGGGCGATTTTCCTAAAAAGAGAGGAAGTTAACATTCAACTTACACTTAAATATTTTTTATGACATTTTTGAAGTCACTTTTGAAGGATTCATCCTCTTCATTTTATTCACAAAACTGCCACTGGCTAGACCTGCAGATAAGCATATGTTTGAAAGTTTAGTTGTTTAACTTTTTTTTAATATTTATCAAATTTGGAAGTAAATTATATTTTAGTGTTGAAGTTGCTTTTATGCATAAGTTTTTTCGTTATCTTTAATTTTTTAGATGGATCTAGAAAGAATGTCGATTAGAAATGATTAACTAGACGAATATTTTACTAAAGTCAAGTTCTTTACAAAAAATTGTCGATATATTTTTTTGCTTTGTTTAAGCACTGTAAAACTGTAGACTATAGTAGGAAACTATACTTATAAATAAATGAAGCTCGTAAATATTATTAGAAAAAAAATATCTTTTATTTCTTTTAATTTCAAGCGTGACTCTGTCTAAGAAAATAAAAATTCTACTCTGTTTAGAAAATAAAAAATTTTATTTTAATAACACCTAATGAAAAATTGCAATGAAAAATGCAAAAAAAATTGCAATGAAAAATGCAAAAAAAAGCAATATGGTTTAGATACAAAAAGCTATCAAATTTCACTAGCAAATTAATTATATGCAATAAAAAAACAAATTTTTCTGTGAGCTTGCGCTATAAAATCAAGCTAACGATCTAGACAGTTGAAAAAAAACGTACCATCTAGGTCAGAAAGAAGCCAAAAAAAGCTTATAAAAATACCTCAACAAATAAATAAAAATTATTTTGCGCAGCAATTTTTGCGAAGCATATATAACACAAAGAAAATACTTTACATGTTCACAATAACTTGCAACAACAACATTTTTTCTTTATAATAATATTTGCTATTAACTCGCGTGTAACAATCTTGACCAGTAATAGCCATTAACTATGCATCAGATACGATCTACAGACACTTTCATCGTACAAATAAAATTTTGAATGGATGTAAAGTAGTATGCTTCAAATGTCTTGTACCCGAATAAAGTAAAAGTAACGAGTTATGCGGTAAAGAAATTGCATGTGCCGCAAAAGCTTGCATTAGCAACCTTGTCTGACACTTATCTAGAAAACATGCTTAAAGTGTTTTGTACCACAGCAAATTAGTTTGCATATTACAAAAGATGAGTTTTAGAAGCCTTAAACCAGCTGGTTTTGGTTGAAAGTCTTTCATTCCAGGTTCAATTTATTTTTTCGTTAGTAATAATTTTTTAATTAAAAAAAAAATCTAAACAATTATAGAAAATGCTAATTTATTTGAAAGTCGATTCTACATCAAGGCATATGCGTCACTACCTCGGTATAAATGCGCAATACTTGAACAATGATGAAATTGCTGTGATCAATCTTGACACCATAGATATGAAGGGAAAACAAACGGCAGAATACACAAAAAAAAAATTATTGAAAAGTGTTTAGATAAGTTTGGAACCAATAAAACTAATATTTTAGGCCTCAGTGTTGACAATGCAGCAGTGAGTAACATTTTTTGAAATTCACTATATTTTTTCTTAATGAAAAAAATTTTAAATTATGTGAATAAAGTTATTATTTTCCATCAAATCATTTAAAAAATAAACTATTTTGATAAAATCTTTTGTATACTGTAAGGTATATTCACTAAACTTTAAATTAATTATTGAAATAATGATTAATATCTTTAGGTAAATATAACGTTGGTGCGCGACTTTGGCATCAGCGCCATTGAGGATATTGTAAAGACGAAGACAATTTTTCATTAGAAACTGATGTATTTGACGAAGATGGTTATTCTAAAGCAGACAATGCGGCAGCAGTCTTGGAAAGTGGAGTAGCCAGTAGCATGAGTGTTATACATCTTCAAAGATGTGCTGTCCACACTTTACAGCTAGCCGTAAATGATGCACTGATAAAGCTGACAATAAAAAATCAAATTAACAATGCCAGAGATGTTGTCAAAACTGCAAGAAATTCAAATTGGATTGACTTCTTCAGGGACCAGACTCTACATCTCATTACAATTTTAGATCAGGCTACCCGTTGGTCTAGCCAGTTAAATATGATTGAGAGGCTAATTAAGGTAAGTTATAAGTTATAACTTCAAAGTTTTAATCAAAGTGTATAAACCAGTTTTCTAACCGGTATAATATAAATCCAATTATTTCAATGGTAATGACATTTATACTACTTAATAATTTTTAAATGTTAGTTTATGCAAATATTTCTTTAATAATCCTCTTTATTTAAGTAGTTAATAACTTTGAACATATATTTAATGAATTTTTCTGTTCTTCTAGATTTGACCAGTAATTCAAAATCTAAATATGCAAAAAGAGGCTCCTAAAGAATTTAATGTGTGACCATGTTTTTTGGGTATGTGAGAGGAATCGAGAGATGTATTGCATATGGCACACGATCTTACTATTCGTCTTCAACGTGAAAATATCACCGCAGGCGAATTTCTTTTTGATTGGAATTCAATAAAGTGTGAACTTGACAGGAAGGACAGTGACATAGCCAAAGATTTTCAAAAAGGAATGAATAATAGAGAAAGCGTGCTACACGAAAATCAGTTGTTTCTTGCAGCAGTTTACGTTGATATTAGGCATAGCTGTATGTTAACAGCTACTGAAGACAAGGCTGTTTTTTTAATAAAATTTTATTTATATATATTTATTAAATTTAATAAATACATAATCCAAAAAATATAAATACTTCTATAGATAACTGCAGCTGATGGACTTTGGAAAATACATTACAAACTGATTCAACTCGCTAATGAAAATAAGAATAATGAACTCAATAAAACCAAAAAAGCAGTAGAGCGCAACTCTTTTACAGTTTATGTGACAGACTCTAGTTCAGAAAATGAGGAGAATGCTTCACCAGTTGCAAAGCGTCAACCAAATTTAAGTTGTGCGAACAGGAGGTTCAAGAAAATTCTTCAGAAGGACAAATGCAGGTTCAACTAGATGAAATCGAAGTTTTTCCAGCATAAAGCAACAGCCAATCAGCTGTCAAAAACTTTGGACTTTCAGGACTCAGTGTCTTAATTTTTTTAGGTAGCTGTGTATATTTATTTTTTTCACTTTATTTATTTATTGCAGATTTATTCTAAAGAAGCGGTAGCTGTGTATTATACACTTATACTGAATTTTCTTCCCCTCCCCATTTTTGAAATGATTTCTGAAACCATTTGATTTTTCTTGCTATGAAAATCAGCATTGATAATTTCTCATAATCTCATTTTTTGGAAGTTGATATTGTTCTTTTTTGATTGCATTGTGAATGAACTGATTTCTGGTGATAGCTCTAATAGATACTTCGACTGTGGCCATGTCAGAAACTATTTCACTTTAGCTCTTACATTAAACAAAATCAAGCATTGTTTTAGGTTTCTTTTCCGCTAAAACTTGTTCAGGAGGAATTTTTTCAGTTTGAGACCAATCAATTCCATGCTTTGATTTTAAGTGAGCCTTAAGCTCGTGGTAGATCATCCAGAGCACTTAATGACATAATTGCAGCGATTGCAAACACCTTCTATATCCTTAGTCACAGGATTTTTTCGTTTTGTTTCAAACTCCTAAACAGATGACATCTCAATTGTATTAAGGTGTACATTATATATACATATATAATAAATATTTTTCATAATAAGAATAATATCTACTTTCTAGTGAAATATTGAAATAATTAAACACAAATTCAATTAGTTAAACCAACAATATCAACAACTCAACCTCACTGTTATGTTTTGTATTCTTATTTATAGGAAAAAGAATCAGTTTGTTTTGTTTAACATTTATTTCTATATTATATTAAACTATTGCAAATAATTAAAACCTTTTCAAGTTACTTTAAGTTAAACTAAATCTTCCCATTGCAACAGAGTTTAATTGTTTTATTTTTTATTATTTTGTTTCTATTTTTACGAAGAATTGTTTAAAAGCTTTTTTTGAAAACTAACTAATCAGAGCATAAAATTAAAAATTACTATCTAAAAAAAAAGCTGTGAAAAATTTTTTTTTTTGGAAAACCTTTCGAAAAAATGCGTATACAATTTAAAAATATTATATTTTTTTCTTTTCAATAATTTAACTTAATTTTTTAATAACTTTGTTTATTTATTAATCAATCATTAAAAGTAATTTGTAAAAGCGTTTTCAATAAAATATTTAAAAAAATAAGTTTTAAAGTAATATATTTCAAATGCAATTAAAAAAGTAATTTGAGTATTTTGAGTTTTGTTTTAAAGCTTTTTCTTTTTCGTAAGAAATTATTTCTTTTTTCTTTAGGTTTGTTTCTACTTTTTTCATAGTTTTAGTTTAGCTTAGCGTTTCTTTTTTCAGTGCATTTCTGAAATGTTTAAAGAATCAAAACATCTAAACTAATAATCTAATTTATAATATTATTTTTTTTACTATACGTTTTACTACAGTGTCTTTGCTAGAAACATGAACTTAAAATATTGCAGAAAATAGGACACCCAAAATCCAAGAATAATTATTGAAATCAAATATGCAGCAACTTAAATGCACAGTTTTATATACATTTATTAACACCACTATTAAAACCCCTATTAATACCCCCATTAACACCCTTTTTAACTCTAGCACTGACATCCACATTGACTTCACAGACCTCTTGAAAAACTTGCATTGCATCATCACTCACTTATTAAGGCCCTTCTGTTTACACTTTTGACTCATAAGCAATCAAAACACTCATAAAATCATTTTTAACCAATCAGAACCTCATGTTATTATCTGCTTCATGCGTTATTTGTTTTAAGGTTATAGAATTTAAGATATGGTAAAACATATGGTTCCAGCAAGATGGAGCCACAGCTCAAATAGGTCATCCAACTATAACTCTACTGCACAAAATATTAGGCTATAGAATATTGGCTTTTTTTAATTTTAACAAGTCACTGTGGTTCCCTAATTTAACAGCTCTCGACTTTTTTCTTAAGGGCTACCTATAAGATAAGTTGTATGCCGAGGAATTTCTAAGAGCTTAAGCCCAATATCCAAGAAAGAGCGAGAGCTCTGGGAATTAAAATTCTAAGAAAAGTTATGGAAAATGCTTTAAGATAGAGTATCTCATGTTAAAGCAATCAATGGGCATCATTTGAGATAAATTATCTTCAAAATAATATGTGAACATATTTACAAAATATATATACTAAGTTTTATTAAATAGTAATATTAAACAAAATCAGAAAGAAAAAAGTTATTTTTTAAGTAAATCATAACATGACATATGTGCCACCCTGTACAATATTAACTAGTTTAGATCCCACTACTCACATGGGCCAGGGGCCAGTACAGTGAAAGTTACTAGATAAATAAAACAAGCGCAAAAGAAGAGCAGTTACTGCAGCATACATATTTTAAAAACACAATCAAAAAATACTTTAATTCACCTTGGAACATCTCCATAAATCGAGGATTTGAAAAGAGAGTACTTCCTTTCACTAAATATTCAAAGTATGAATCCACTCCAGCACCAATACCAGAATCAACAGCTGTCCATTCTCCAGTTTGCACATTAATATGATTGCCAACCTTTTACAAAAAAAGACTATGTTTTTAAAAAAACTTTTTTATTTGTAAACTTATTTATTGCTAAAATAGATTTATAAATACAATATGTTCAGGTAATAGTACATTCATACACCTTGTATACGAGTGAGCTGAAGATTGAACAACATGACACTGCTATTAAGGTCTGAAAACTAATAGTTGTGCAGAAAACTAAATAATCTCCAAAACTCGTTGGAACACAAATTAAATAAAAAACATTTTAAAAAGAGTTTTTTTTGTAAATAAAAAAATAACACAATTAATTGCATAAAAAAATATTTCTAAGAAAAAAATAAAATCTTTAGCGCATTAAAATATTTGTATTTGTTAAAAAATTGTAGAAGATAAAAATAAAACAAATTACTAGGCCAATTTTAGATCTTTTTTTCCATAAAGCTTCTAATGCATCTGTTGCTGCATTAATGAATCGATTGTCACCTGAAATATAATATATATACATATATACTTTTTTGTAGTTGTTTAGGTGCTTGCAGTTCATATGGTCTTTTCACAAAGCACCGCAGGATAAACATACACATATATATATATATATATATATATATATATATATATATACATATATATATATATATATATATACATATATATATATATATATATATATATATATATATATATATATATATATATATATATATATATATATATATATATATATATATATGTATGTATGTATGAATGTATGTATGTATGTATGTATGTATGTATGTATGTATATATATAAATATATATATATATATATATAAATATATATATATATATATATAAATATATATATATATATAAATATATATATATATAAATATATATATATATATAAATATATATATATATATATATATATATATATATATATATATATATATATATATATATATATATATATATATATATATATTGTTGTTTTGATTATTTGATAATAATCAACTCTTTTTCGATTTGAGAGTGATCAATATAAAGTAAAATAATCACAAAATAGATCAATAAGTAAATAAAAGGTTAGATGAGAAAAAACAACTTTTATACGGTACTTAAAGTTTCATGCCATTTTCGGCACTCATCAGCCATATATTTAAATTAAGAAGAAACCGTTTAAAAATACAATTAAAAAACGTTACAAAATTCAAAAAAAATTCAAAATTCAAGTCGCATATGTGATGGAAAAAGTAAACTTTGGATATTCAGTCAAGAACTTCCGATACCATCCATTTAAGTCTTCAAAATGCAATTATTGGATAAAACTGAAACAATAATCAAAAGAATGCGATGGAAAGCGTTTTTCTTTTTAAACAAGAGCTCAAATAGTAAGAACAATTTTTATATTAACTACGGATTAAAAAAATCTAATCATCCAAAACAAATTACAGAAATGCTAGCTTTCAAGAACGAACTCATTGATCTTGTAAAACACATTAAGTTTCAAAAGGTACACAACACTTTTCAAAATAAACTAAAACAAGATATTAACGTTATTCAAAAATCTAAACTAACTTATACGTATGCTGATAAAACATTTAATCTTTAAAAATTATCTAAAAATGATTATAACCACTCGTTAAGAAATATATCACTTCAAACTACAAATTATCTAACTCAAACTTAATAAATAAAGTAAACATAGAAGGTAAACGTCTTTTGAAAAATCATGAAGTTTTCGATAAAACTGATATTAATATAGCTTCCAATTATTTTATCACCTTAAAAGACCATAAAGATAATTTCGAAATTAATCTGACTGTGAGGTTGGTAGAATTAGTAAAGATGTTCTTTCTAAAAATATTACAGATCTAAGAAGTATATTACAATTAAATCAATGGAAAACACTCAAAATGTTATCAATTGGTTTAAAGCCATAAAAGACAAACACCTTTATAAATTTTTAATTTTTGATATTATTGACTTCTACCCTTCTATTAGTGAAACACTTCTAAAAAACTCTATCAAATTTGCAGAGCAACACTTGAGACTAAATAAAGAGAATATATCGTTAATTTTTCATGCACAAAAGTCTTTACTTTTTAATAATAATCAGGTTTGGATAAAGCAATCAAGTAGTTTATTTGATGTTTCCATGGGAGCACATGACGGCGCGGAGATTTGTGAGCTGGTTGGAATATTTCTTCTTTTCGAAATTTCAACAAGTTTGAGGTTGGTTTATATCGTGACAATGGCTTAGCAGTTTTTTAGTAATAAAAGCGGCACTCAAATGGAAAAAATAAAAAAGCATATTGTCAAAATATTCAAATGCAATGGCTTACTAATTTCTATACAATGCAACATGAAAATTGTCAACTACCTCGACGTTACTCTAAATCTTAGTGAGTGCACTTTTAAACCTTATTACAAACCTGATAATAAATTAAATTATGCCCATGCTGATTCAAATCACCTGCCAAATATACTAAAACAAATACCACACTCGGTTAAACTTAGATTATCTACAAATTCTTCTACCAAAGAAATATTTCAACATACTATTCCTCTATATAATGAAGCTTTATTAAAGTCTGGTTTTAAATGTAGTCTAACATATAATCCTAAAGCAATATCAACTCGAAAATGGAACAGAGCATGCAACATCATTTGGTTTAATCCTCCATTTATCAAAAATATTAGCACCAACGCAAAGTGGAAAATAAAGGTCTGTTTCAGATCAGAAATCAATAACTTTTTTGTTACTAAAGATAAAGTGTTGAAATTTTGCACAAATGTAGAGTAGTATATGAGGCTTCTAAGGAAATATTTTTTATAAAAAAAATTTAATATAAAACTCGTAAATAAAAATCAAAAACCTCACAATTTTCTTTTTTTTTTTTTTACAAAAATCAATAACATTTTGTTACTAATGATAAAGTGTTGAAATTTTGCTCAAATGTAAAGAAGTATATGAGGCTTCTTAGAAAATATTGAAAAAAAAAAAAAAAAAATTATATAAAACTTTAAATAAAAATCAAAAACCTCACAATTTTCATTTTTTTTTCACTTTCAACTAAACATGTTCTTTTTAATTTTGTTTAAAAACTTTAAAAGTATTAGAAACGACAAAAAATGCTTATTTATTTAGAAAATATATTGATATTAAACTTATATAATAAAAAAACATTTATACGAGCTTTTGGCTAATCTCTAGACAAAAAAAAAAAAACATACTTTTTAATCTTCTAAACAAAAATTTTCCTTATATGAGGTTTAATTGCTTTACTAATTTGATTTTTTAATAGTTGCGTGTAATTAGTTAATTTGCATTTATTAAAACATTTACATGATTACATTACATATATTTTCAAGAGTTTATAAAATGCTTATTATAGCAATATTCAGTATAGTTTATTAATAACAACTTTTATACAATGAGTTTTTATAGAATAAATTATGTCTACTTTCAAAAGCTGCAAAGTATTTTCATCGAGTTCTTGGATATTTTTGTTGTATGGTTTTCTAATGCTGGTGATGTAGGGATTGGAAGTGTACAGAAAAGTATGAAATAAAAAAAAAAGTCCTCATTTGTAGCTAATCTAGAACATTTCCTGGCATGATAAAGGCAAAATTTTTTACAACCTTTATTATGGGATTCTTGTGCATCTTTTAAAAGTTGCCCGATAGGCAATTTTTTTTTTCTTTTTACTTTATAGTTCAATTAATTATTTGTAAACAAAACCATATAATTAAAAAAATGATTTTGTTCTAAAATCTCCATAACATGATGCTTTCAAAAATATATAATACTTTATACTTGCTCATAAAAAGTTTTATAGAAAATATCTTTTAAAGTTATGAAGCAAATAAGTTTAAATTGAAAATTTTCAAAAATATGAAACGGTAGGGCTTCAAAAATGATCTTTTTACAAAAAAATTAGGTAAAATTCCTACATTATAGTAAAGATTGACTATTAACTATTAAAAAATATATATATAAAATTACAGTAGTGAAATTAAAATTTGAACAAAAAACATTTATGGTACAATTTTGTAGTATTATTTTCCACTGCGCAACGTGGGAAAATGTTTTTTGAAATTAATTGACTAACATTTTTGTAATAATAAAAAACTGCATAAAATCTTTAACAGGAACACAGTCAAAGTTAGCTACAGTTGTATGCCAAGTGTAAAATCGATTATAAATTCGCACAACAAATACATTTTATCCAACGATACAAACTCTAATCAAGAAAATTGTAACTGCTTAAATAAAAATCTCTGCCCATTGTTCAATAAATGTTTAACAAGCAACATTGTATATCAAGCAACTGTAACCACCACTAATAGTGATTCATATCCTAACAAAAAATCCTACATTGGTGTAAGTGAGACTTCTTTTAAATGGAGATACGTTAATCACGTTAAATCTTTTAACATCCCTAAATACAAAAATGATACTGAGCTCTCAAAGCAGGTATGGAAAATAAAAGAAGCCAATTTAGTTCCTATAATTAAGAGGAAAAGGCAATCTAAAGCAATTTTCTCAGGCCATGTAAAGCATATAATCAAACATCCAAATCTTGTAAAATATGTCTCACCGAAAAATATGAAATCCTAAATTATAAAAATACTAATCTACTGAATAAAAGGAGTGAGATTGTTTCTAAGTGCAGACATAGAAACAGATTCCTTCTTTCTCAATTTGACACTGGCGATTAGAAAAGATATTTTTTCCATATTATTATTATTGTTATTATTATTATTATTGTTATTGTTGTTATTATTGTTACTATTATTAATAATAATTATTATTTGACGTCGGAACTCATTCCATTGTTTTTTTTTTAAATTTTGTAACGGTTTTTTAATTGTATTTTTAAACAGTTTTTTCTTGATTTAAATATATGGCTGATGAGTGCCGAAAACACCTTAAAACTTAAAGTATCATATAAAAGTTAATTTTTCTCATCTAACCTTTTACATATATATATATATATATATATATATATATATATATATATATATATATATATATATATATATATATATATATATATATATATATATATATATATATATATATATATATATATATATATATATATATATAAATATATATATATATAGATATATATATATATAAATATATATATATATATATATATATATATATATATATATATATATATATATATATATATATATATATATATTAGGGCTGTACCGGATTTAATTTTTTCGAATCTGGCCGGAGCTTCAGCCGGATTTCTACTGACAGATCCGGCCGGAATCGGAGCTGGAGCCGGATTTCAAAAAAAACTACAGGAGCCAAAATCCTGTACATCCCTACTTGGTGTTGAGAATGGTCAACGATGTGGACTATACCAAGTGACTGCTGTTTTTTGTTAAACTTCATTGTTGTTATTTAAAAAGTTTTATAGCAGTTTTCTATATATAAATTAATAGAAATTCTATAGAAATTCTAAAGGCCATATGTT